CCCTGCAAGTCAATTTCTTCATTGTATGTTTTGTTTAATCTTTCTTTTTTTATTCCTATATAATGAATAACAATATTGCAGCCAGAAAGTGTTCGTGAGATAACTGATGTTCTTCGGTTGGAAACACTATCAATGCCATAACCAAAGGATCTGCAGCCTTGGCTTCATTAGTCATTACATGGATGCAGTTACTACGTTTTACTTTTCAATTTCTTAGTCACTACGTATTACTTTTTCTATTTTTTTTAGCCTTTTGAAAACTACTTCATTATAAAATTTAACAAGGGTAGTAATTTAATCATAATAGCATTGCCTTTTTTATTGTTCGATTTTGTTGCATTACTTTCGACAATGTCATGAAATTACATTGTAAAAATTTACAACATTATTTATGAAAAAATCTCACCCTTGCCATCGCCTCCGACGAATCTCGCCGCCGCCATCGCTCTCCGCAGATGGATCCTCACTTAGCCATGCCATTCCCGCTAATTTCCGTATCGCTGGATAAGTGCTGCCATCGCCGCTCCAGGGCTGAAGTAGTGCCGCCATAGCCGCTTCAGGGGTCCACCATCTCCACTCCATGGGTCCGTCGTCTCCACTTCAGCCGTCGTCAGTCTTTGTCGCCGCTTCAGATCTCGCCAGTCTTCATCACCTCCTCACCAGTCATCGACCTCCTGTGGTTTAGATCTGGTTCAGATCCGGCGATGATTTGTGCGCATGGCCGGCGAAGAGAGTCAAAATCGGGCGGGTCGAGTTATTGGGAGTGGCTAGGGTTGACTGGTGGTGGTGGGATGGGCTGTTGTGGGCTGGTGGGGTAGGGGGGTAGGGGTGATATGCTGTAGATTAGTGGGGAAATGGTCAAGGAAAGTGGTGGTGGGGCAGGGACTGGATGCGGTGGTCACCAGCGGGGAGGGTGGTGGTAACTGACTGAAGGTGGCCGGAGTAACTTTGTGTCACTATGGGCATCGGCGGCGGCGGTTTCCGGTGGGTAGTCACTCTGGCTGGTGGAGTCACTATGACCGGAGTCACTGTGACGGTAGGGCAGTCACTGTGGCGGTGGGGTAGTCACTGTGGCCGGCGGGGCAGTCACTGTGGCCGGCGGGGCAGTCATTGTGGCCGGTGGGGCAGTCACTGTGGCCGGCGGGGCAGTCACTATAGCCGTTGGACAGTCACTTGGTCGGAGTCACCGAGGCCGGAGTCACTTTGGATTGCAAGGGCTAATTTGTTGTTGGTCACATTTTTGGATTTTTTTAAAACATTTCACTTTTTTGTCTTAATAATTACAATGACATGTAGATAATGTCATAATGTGATACTGTAATATAATATCATTGTTTGAAAATTAATATCATTGTAAGAACAAAAATGACAATGTAAGTATATTGTCATTGTCTCTATATAATAACAACGTAATACAATGTCATTATTTAAAAGTCAATGTCACTTTGTGATAATGTAATATAATGTCATTGTATAGAAATCAATGACATTAAATAACATGGAGTATAATGTCATTGTTTAAACATCAATGTTATTAAATGACAATGTCATTGTTTAAAATCAAATTGCCATATGTCATTGCGATAATAACATTGTGACATTGTCTCCACCGATGACATTGAGATATTTTGACATTGTTATGTCATTTTGTGAGTATGTGACATTTTGTAATTATATTATGATATTATCACGGGACATTTCGATATTAACATTGTGATATATTTTCTAAATTTGACATTGTTTTCGTTTATGACAGTTTTTGGAAAGAACAATTTATGACATTAAGATATTGTGACATTGTCATGTGTTGTTGTGACATTCTGGTATGAAATTGTAATATTGTCTAATTACATTGTGACATTGCGCTATTGACACTGTAAGGTTATAAAGAATAGAAAAGAAAAAACAAAAATTACGGAGTCTGATATTGAGAAATTAAACAACTAAAAGCAAAAACGACCTACAGCAGGACATGGAAGAATAGCTCTCACAAGACGTACGTATCGCAGGGAGAGGGCACTCAAGCAACTTTGTAATTAAAAGGGAGGAAAAGGGGAGGGGAAGAAACAGCGTCCCAACCCAGTCATCGATGACCACTCCACTGATAATTCGCACCGGCGAAAACCACCGGCGTACCGGCAGTGATTGTGATCTGCAACTGATAAGAACGATTACTTTGTTGATAAATGGGAAATACGCATATATTCATAGCAGGAATTCAAAATTGGCAGGACTCCGTTGATCGTGTCTGCCTATGTATTGATAGCGGACTTCCTGGGAGCAGGAGCGGGAATACGTAAGGGTGTGGTGTAAGGGTGTTTTTGTCTCTCCGTTCAAAGTTACTCTTATTTAGGAGTTAAAAAGTTTTAGGTCCTATTTACATTCCCACATCTTTTTTTAGTCCTATTTAGGTCTATTTTCCTTTTAATTACGAAAATGTCATCGACCGTACAATGCTCCATATTTAACAAACTCTATTGAAAAACAGACTAGTGGTTTGTTTGCAATCCATTAAAAAAAGTGTTTTTAACTTTTTTTTAAGAAAAAAACACTTATTTTACCAAACACTACCAACTTTTACTTTCTCGGCTTCCGTGTAAAATCTACTTTTTACTTTTTCTATTACACAAAAAGCACTTATTTTACCAAACACTACTAACTTTTACTACTAATCACTTTTTCCCCAAAAATGCTTTTATTTAAGCACAAGTGGTTGCAAACAAAGCCTAGTTCTAGTTCCAACCAGTCTCGAGATTGGAGCCGTGTCCACCCACCATTACCTACAATCTCCCATTTCATGACCATTAGTTTAACACTTTAACTTCTTTAAAGTTATTTTGAGTAACTTGTTACAGGTTAGTAAACTCAAATTGCAAATAATGCTAAAAAAACAGTTTAGAAACCATTGTTTGCCATATGGCACCAAACTGTAGAGTCGTTTTTTAAAGAGAACATTACCTTAAATAAGATAAAAAATGTTTGAATATTCCAAAATAGGACAGTCATGTTTTTATTATCAAAATAGGACTAATTATTGTCATGTTTTGGCAGTATCAAACTTTAAACATGGTAGTATTCTCCAAACTTGGCAGTAAGTACTCCTATTTTGGGAATAAAAAATGTGTCAATCCTATTTTGAAATTTACAAGAAAAAATTGCACCGAAATTACAATCCACCTTTGCATTTCCGAAACTATGAGGCAATTTGCCTTTTCAAAAAATGTGACTTAGCTTGGGCCGTTAGGATCTTCAATGGATCATATGAGTGGCCTTTTCCACTCAAGTTAATGAGTGGCTTATATGAATCATATATAAATAGAAAACCCTAGCTTATCAATTCAAACTGGCGGTCTTCAACCTTTCTTCATTCCAGAGATGAGCTTCGTCTCTCTCCATCAGTCGACTACCCATCGCACTCCAGCCGCCGGCATCCCACCGCTCCACCGCACTCCAGCCGCCGACACCCCAGCGCTCCACCGCCGTCATCCCCGGCCGCACCACTCCAGTTCTTCTTCTTCTCATTCTTCTTCGCCGCTGCTTCTCCTACCCGCCCTATTCCGCGAGCGAAGGTTAGGTAACGATGGCTAGGTCAGCGACGGCTAGGTGACGATGGCCAGACGAGCGACGGCGTTGAACGGATATGTGATTTTGGCGGTCATTAAATTTAGGATGGGGGCGGCGACGAGCTGGCGGCCAAGGTTACAGGCGGTGGTGCGGTTGGGGGCTTGGTCGGAAGTTGGGGCTTAGGTGTGAGGCTGGGACCTGGGGGTTTGGAATCTGGATGGGCTGGCGGGCAGATCTGTGTGTTGGGGTGGTCTAGGGTTGACCTGTGGGACAGGACTAGGGGCTGACGGGGAAGAGCTGGGGTGTTAGGTGGGTGAACGTCATCGGTGGCGTCTCCGGCGGCGGTGTTAGAATTTAGGCGAAAGTCACTGTGTTAGTGACAGGAGTTGGGCGGCAGTCACTGGATTAGTGACCGGAGTTAGGCGGCAGTCACTGGAATAGTGACTGCAGTTAGGTAGAAGTCACTGATCAGTGACCGAAAGTCACTGAGTCAGTGACTGGTGGCCGCGGTGGCCGCGGCGGCGACGGCGGCGACGGCGGTGCTGGTAGCGGTGGTGGTCTTGTGGTGCTGGGGTCAGTGCACCGAGGTACTGGTGGCAATAAGACATGGTCCGCTAATCAAATCATATAAAATACTCCGTATATTAAATACTACGTATAAGGATAAATGGCTGGATAAATGACCGTTAGTAACACATTTGGAAAATTTAAAAAGATGTTACATTTTTGTATTTTCTGTTCATTTTAGTAATATTGATATAAAAAGGCCAATTTACAAACTATTTTAGTTCTATTTCAGGAACTCTCCCTTTTTAAATTTATTAAAGTTGGGATAAGGGTCAGATAGGGCCTCGAACTTCGAAAAAAATGTCAAATAAGGCCATATTTAGGTTACTATGTCCGGCTAACGCCATTTGGGGCGGTTCCCGGTTGAATTTTTTGATGATTTTTTTGAGAATCTTATTCATTAAGTCTAGTTTACTCATATCAAATTTGAACTACCAATTCAATCGGGAAGGCATTCAAATTAATTCTTGAAGATAATTGCGCTTTTAACTGCACAGTTATCTTCAAGAATTCATTTGAATGCCTTCCTGATTGAAGTTTTAGTTCAAATTTGATATGAGTAAACTAGACTTAATGAATAAGATTCTCAAAAAATTTCATCAAAAAATTCCATCGGGAACCGCCCCAAATGGCGTCGGCCGGACAGAACATCCTAAATATGGCCTTATTTGACATTTTTTTTTCAAGTTCGAGACCCTATTGAGACAGAACTCCTATTAAAGTTCAATAGCTTTCTCTCAAGGAGCATATTTAATTTGTAATTTAATTAAAGAATTGAAAAAGGTAAACTAATCCTTCCATGGTTAGTAATAATATGGTGGCCTAGTAACCCCTTATTTCATTCAGGCATTCTAACTCAAAAAATTTCAATCTAGTGAAAAACACTTTTAAAAGAATTTTTGTTTAACTGAATGTACTTAGCAACAAGTGGTGCGTCTGGCAAATAGTAACCCATGGTTACAAACTTACAATGAAGCATTCTAACCTACCCTATTCATCGACTCTTACTTGTGCATTCTCCATTCGCATTCGCCCTCAATTAATCGTAGTGCCCTCGTTGGTCTGATATCACCAGGTCCAGCATAAGTTCAGTTGAGTAGAAGCACTTTCGCCACCGTCATAGAGTACCCATCTCTGTTTAATCCCTAGAGTAGCTATCTTTGTCTCCTTGATGTAGAGTTAATGGATTAAATTCGCTTTTTAAATGCTTGAATAGAAATTCAGGGTTTGCAAATTTTGAATGCTACAAAACTGTATGCCCTAATATGTACACTAAAGTTTCAATGTTTAAACAGTAGAGGATTCGTGATCTGTTTTTTAACCATAGAGTAACTCTCTTTTTCTTTTTTATGTTTGCAAATTTTGAATGCTATGAAATTGTATTTCCTAAAGTTTCAATATATAAATAGTAGGATTTGATATCCGGATTCATGATCTGTTCGTATCTCTTCTTGATACCACTCATAATCTGCTTGAGATTTAGACATACCCGAATTCACCCATTTGAGGTTATCTCTAACCTAGTTTTTCCTATAATTTGCTTCTATTAGTGCTGCTTATATCATGGTGAGCAGGAGGGATAGACTCAGTGAACTTCCGGCCGATTTACTTGACAAGATATTGGGATGTATGCCCATTTCGGATGCTGCTAGATTGGCCGTTTTGTCTTCTTTCTGGAGAGATGCATGGTTCAGTCTTACAACTCTCGACTTTGATGATGACTTCTTTTGTCACATAAGAGACAAGTATGATTGGTTCTATGCTTGTAGTGATGAAAGGACCCATAAACTAATATATGACAATGATAAAATTGATATCTCGGTCTCTATGAGTTTGAATGTAATCAACAAAGTTCTAATTCAGCACAATGGACCTATTCACAAATTTTGCTTTGCATTTGGGGATGACGGGATAGGATCACTTAAGTCACGAGTACTAGATATTTATCAATGGCTCACTTTTGTCACACAAAAAGGTGTTGAAGAAATTCACCTTAGGTTTGAGAGACAAGATGGATTCTTACTGCCAAACTGCATCTTTTCCTGCCCAACACTCAGGAGTTTGCGTCTCTGTGGGTCGACTTATGACACAGTAGATGCACCTCGAAACTTACCAAATTTCACTTCACTTTATTTTGAATATGTTAGCTTTGAGCCTAGTGGTCATGCAATTAATGCTCCTATGCTTGAGAATCTCACATTTTTTGCATGTGATGAATCCATGTTCCATTTTAATATTACTGCCCCAAAACTTGGTATGTTAACAATTCAAGCTTGTTCTTATCGCCAACGTAATGGTTATCTTCCAATTAACTACGCAAGTTGGGAAGCTGTTTGTACTCTTGTTCTAGATGGATACTCGATCAAGGTATATTAGCCATACCCCTTTGGTTGACATTACTTACTCCGTATTTAATTTGTTCTGGTAACTGATCAAACATTTTTCTTGGGATTTGAAGAAATTTTTTGAGCCTTTTACTACAAGGGGACTGCCACTGCAACCACCCCTACGACTAAATGTGGAATACTTGTTGTTGCGTGATGACCCACTAGAGTGTGACCTTTATGGGAATTACAAAGTACAGGGTGATATTTCTCGTACATTCATTCATTTGCTGCGTTTATGCCCAAATTTGCGCAAACTTCATATGGATGTATCGGTAATATTATTTAACTGGATAAGTTGTTCATTAAATTTCTGTTTTTTCCAATAATTTAGTGCAACTTGGTTGTGAGTTTAGGTGAATGATGAGTTATTTTTTGTGGTATTGCTTTTTTGCAGATTATTGAAATGTTAGGGGATTGTTTAGGGAAAAACTCAAAACTTTCAGAGTATTTATGCAGTGTGGCTGTAAGACTTTACTTTCTTGATGCTATGATCTTGGGTGACGTCTCATACACAAGCTGTAGTGAGACTTGGCTGTCTGGGATCAAGGTGTTTCTTGCATGCTTCCCACGACTTCAGAAGTTTGTCATTGGAAAACACTTCAATCTCCAAACTACTAAGAAAATTTTGCTTTTTCCTCGTGCCTCCGCAAAAGTCAAAATAGTTTTCATTTAAGAACTGTATTGTATTCGAATGAATTGAATGTATGTATTGATATTTGTACTTCATGGGTTCAAGAATGTACATTTGTGTTGTTTGAGAACTCTTCTTGCCAGAGATTTGAGACATACTTAGCCAAGTTCATTCATTCTTTGGAATTTGGGGTTATGCCTAACCTTCTTTTTCTTGTTATTGCATCAGTACAGGATTTTGGAATGCTTTCACATTTACAGGCTCTTAGAATGGGTGATTAGTTGACTTTCGGTGTTTAGTAGATTTTGGAGTACATTGTAGTCTTGTAGAGAGACGGTTCAATTTGGAAAATCTTCGCTTTGTTTTAACTTCGTTTCTTGCACTGAGGAGAAGTGTCAGTAATCAGTATGATCATAGTGATTTAAAATTACTAAATAGATAAGTTACAAGTCAATGTTATTTAGCATTTGCACACTTGTTTTATTTTACAATTTTCAAATATTAATGATCTGAATACATGACAAGATCTTCGATCAGAATACAAGGCCTTTAGATTGGATATTACTCTGTATTTTTTAGTAAGAAATACATCACAAATATGGAATACAACAAAAATAAAATTAATTTACACATTACTCGATGTTAAGTTCTTTCCATTATTTGCAATGGAGCCAAAAATTCATTATTTTTTGGCTTGAGAATATGATGGAATAAAGTAAAATGGTTCACCAAACTGTCTGTTCTTCTTTATTATGAAGCAGCAGTCAGTCCATGTAATTTTGGACGCGATTTTCATTATGGGTCATCCGAAAACAGTCTCTCCGTGCTTTAGTACATGAGTAAAACTGCGTACATCCGACCCCTCTTTACACCACTGTTGGTGAGAGCCTTTGCGGCGGGGTAAATGACGATTGATGATTACTTGACGTTAAGTTGCGAAAAAGCCTCGAGTTCCATATAGCTCCAATGCAATTGCATTACCTGCTCGGCTGCTCTAATCTTCTTTGATCCTTTGAGACCGCACTTATAGAATAATGAGAATTTACCCAAAATAGGACTAAAAAGGTTTGGAAATTCCAAAATAGGATTGACATGTTTTTATTTCCAAAATAGGACTAGGACTAATTACTGCCATGTTTTGGCAGTACCAAACATCAAACATGGCAGTATTTTCCAAACGTGACAGTAATTACTCCTATTTTGGGAATAAAAAAACATGGCAGTCCTATTTTGGAATTTTCAAACTGTTATAGTCCTATTTCGGGAAAGTTCCAAAATAGGACCAAAACAGTTTGAAAATTCCAAAATAGGACTGCCATATTTTTTATTCCCGAAATAGGAATAATTACTATCAAGTTTGGAAAATACTGTCATGTTTAAAGTCCGATACTGCCAAAACATGACAGTAATTAGTCCTATTTTGGGAATAAAAACATGGCAGTCCTATTTTGGAATTTGCAAACCTTTTTAGTCCTATTTTGGGTAATATCTCTGTATACCACCACATGAACAATTTTTTTGTTTCTTTTCTATTTTAAATATGAATTCCTTTCCAACAAATTGTTTTATCTTTTCATGTAGGTTGTAGGCTCTTTGGTGCTAACTACTCCTAAATAATTTTTGAAAAACTTAGAGCTCGTTTGGTAATACCCAAATTGGTTGTATTGACTGATTCTGCTTAAATTTATGAAATTCTGGTTGAAGTGACTGAATTGTATGATTCTACTGATTTAATAGAATTATATACTCCGTATATGATACTCGTATATTTTATTAATAAAATAAAGAAAGAGTTATATGCAAAAAACATCAAAAATATTTTCTACAGTAACGTCAGCATACATAGTCAAAAAAACACTTTTTTTTGTTTTTTATACTCCAGGGGGTCTTGGGGAGGGGGGCTGGGGGAGTCTGGAGTAATAAGGGCTGAAACCCCCTATGTGCCTAACGGGTTTCGAACTCGAAACTTCTCACTAGGCACGGTATCCTCACAACCAGCTGAGCTGAAATGCTTCGTTAAACACCTTTTAACTTATTTTTTCTTATTAATATACTCCGTACAATTCAGCGGACGAAATAAAAAGTTACTTATTTATCTGTTTGATGAGACAGTTAACCTAGTCTTTAGGAGTTCTAGTTAACAAGGTCACCATACGAGCTTAATTTACCGGTTTGCCCTTCTTTGTTGAGTCTGTAGGACTAATCACAAATATTCTTCTACTTTAAAAAAAGGGATAAGGGTCAGTTTAGTCCTCGAAACTGCAAAAAGAGGTCAAATAAGTCCTTATATAGAAGATTCTGTCCGGACGTGCCATTTGAGGTGGCTCCCGGTGGAATTTTTTGATGAATTTTTTTGAGCATCTTATTCATTAAGTCTAGTTTACTCATACCAAATTTCAGATAAAAATTCAATCGGGAAGACATTCAAATGAATTCTTGAAGATAACTGTGCCGTTAAAAGCGTTGTTATCTTCAAGAATTCATTTGAATGTCTTCCCAATTGAATTTTTAGCTGAAATTTGGTATGAGTAAACTAGACTTAATGAATAAGATGCTCAAAAACATTTATCACAAAATTCCACCGGGAGCCACCTCAAATGGCACGTCCGGACAAAATCTTCTACGTAAGGACTTATTTGACGCCTTTTTTGCAACTTAAGACCAAACTGACCCTTTACTCTTAAAAAAAACAAGTATTCTTCAGCTCCCTCACATTTTTGGGTAGAGAGCTCTTCGTTTCTGTGGTCTAAAGTACTCTAACAAGGTTTACTCTCCACCTCCAGGCTCCAGCATAAGTTTTGGTGAGTCGACTAAAGTAGCTATCTTTGATGTCTGGTGAGTGGATTTAAGTATCATTTTAACTGTTAAATTGGAAGTTAAGCTTCGGATATTTCCCATCCTAAATATTTTTTTTCGTAAAACATAGCAGGGTTTCATTTTGGATTACAGATCTGTTCAGCTGTTCTCATCTCTTCGTGATCCCGATATTCAGGTTCACGATTGACATACTGTTTCAGAAGCAGACTTCATTCTAATCCCTATCCCCTATTTCAACCATCTTGGGGTTATGCCTTACTTATTTGCTCTTTAATTTTCATCTATCTTTAATTTATGGTGAGGAAAAGGAGAGATCGATTCAGTGAGCTTCCGGTTGATTTACTTGACAAGATTTTAGGATGCATGCCCATTTTGCACGCAGCTAGATTGGCTGTTTTGTCTACTCTCTGGAGAGATGCTTGGTTCAGTCTTACAGCACTCGACTTTGATGATGGCTTCTCTCGTCACATAAGTGACAAGTATAATGCACACTATGCTGATAGTGATAGAAGGACACAGAGAGCAATATATGACAATGATAACGTTGATATCCTGATTTCTATGAGTTTTTATATAATCAACAAAGTGCTGATGCATCACAATGGACCGATTCACAAATTTTGCTTTGGAGTTCACAATTTTGAGCGCGATTCACTTGGGTCACGAGTACTTGACATCTATCAATGGCTCACATTTGTCACACAAAAAGGTGTTGAAGAAATTCGCCTCAATTTTGATAAAGATGACGGATTCTTACTACCAAGCTGCATCTTTTCTTGCAAAACTCTAAGGAAGTTGCGCCTTTATGGATCATCTTATGACACATTAAGTGCCCCTTGTGTGTTACCAAATTTCACTTCACTTTATTTTGATGAAGTTGAATTTGAGCATAGTGGTCATACAATTGATGCTCCCATGCTTGAAAATCTGTCATTTTTCTCATGTTATGAAACGTTGTTCCATTTTAACGTTACTGCTCCAAGACTTAGTACGTTAACATTTCAAGGTTGTTCCTATGACCGAATCAAAGGTAATCTTCCAGTTAAATACTCGACTTGGGAATCTGTTAGTACCCTTGTTCTGGACGGCTACACAATTGAGGTATGTTAGCCTTATCTTTATTTTCCTTATCTTTTTCTCTTTTTGCATATGATATCATGGATTGATTCATGTTAGCCGACCCCGAAATCTTTTGGGAGTAAGGCTTGAATGTTGTTGTTGTTGTATCTAACATTTCTCTTTCCTTTCCAAGAATTTTTTTGAACCCCTTATTACTACAAGGGGGCACCACAACATCTGTCTCAACTACTAAATGTGGAGTACTTGATGTTGCTTGAAGACCCAGTAGACTGCAACATTGATATGCTTTTCGAAGTAGAGCATGATATTTCTCTTACATTCATTCATGTGCTGCAGTTATGCCCAAAGTTGTGCAAACTTCGTATAGATGTATCGGTAATCTTATTTTTTGGGATAAATAGGTCATAAATTTCTAGTTTTTCCCTCGATTATATGGCATTTGTTAATGCATGTCTGTTGTGAGTTTTAGTGATTGATGAGTTCAATTTTTTGTTTGGTTTTGGGTAGCTTTTTGAAGTGATGGAAGGTTGTTTAGGTACGCCGTCAGAATATTCAGGGGAGCTTTTACGTGTGGCTCAAACACTTAACTTCCTTCACACTTTGATTTTGAGTGGCCCCAACGTAAGGACTAGTGAGATTTGGCTCTCTGGGATCAAGAGGTTACTTGCATGTTTCCCAACACTTCAGAAGTTTGTCATTGGAACTCACTTCAATCTCAAAACTACAAAGGAAATATTGCATTATCCTCGTGCCTCCCCAAAAGTCGAAATATTTTTCATATAAAAAATGTGTCTCATTCTAATGAATTTAATGTAGATGTTGATTTGTAATTTATTTGTTCAACAATGCATATTTTGTTAATATGAGAATTCTAATATCGCGTTTGATATATTCAAAACAATTGCCATCTTCTGGCCTAAGATGGAGACTGTATTCTTGTCCATCAGTTTGCACCATTTGGGATCATGCAGTCACACTTAACTTAGTTTTTGTTTCTATTGCATCTATAAGTTATTTTTTTAATAAAGTTACCTATCCATATTCTCACATCTTGTATAAAGTAACTTCCTCCTGGTTTAGAACAATGTAATTGTTAGACCGAGCAAGAAAAAGGAGAGGAAATAATGACATAAAAAAAGAGACGATGAAAAAGTGAAAAACTATGCGGCCCCCATTTTTAGTGGCTATATTAGTAAATTTAAGTTAGTACGGGGTATATAATTATATATTCAATTTTACATTATAGTGAACACTGAACATGATGTATCCATAATAACTTTAGTCACATATTTTCCATCAGTTTAATTTGAACGAAATTATAGGAAAAACTTCAAAAAAGACTCACATTATGGTCA